GGATTTGCATGATATGATGCACTTGTTAGACTCCCTGAATATGCAATGTAAAACAAGTCCTTTCTTTTGTATTTTCTGCAGCATTGTCTTTGTACGATTTCTTGGCAAAACTTTAACTCGCAATATCTTATGATAAAATAATCTTCAGCTTATCCAAAAAAAAAAAAAGACTAGAACTTGGGGAGAGGGGTGGGTGGGGGTCAGAGTCAGAGTCAGGGTCACTGTACCTCTCTCCAAGGGGAAATTTAGAAATATCATGTTTCGTAGGCGTGTATAGTTTATGTAATTGCAAGTGTCTTCCATTGTATATTGAACTTTAAAGTTTAGTCATGCATCTTTGTTCTGCTGTTATCATCTGCATCATGAAGAATATGCAAGAAAGAGCCTTTCCAGTTTTCCCAATTTAATTCAAATATTGTAACCTGTTTTTTTTCTTAATAATGTAGCAAGGTGCTGATCGGTGGTATGACTTCGATGACAGCCATGTGTCTCCCATCAACAAGGACAAGATCAAAACCTCAGCAGCGTATGTTCTGTTTTATAGACGAGTTGAAGAAACCTAACGTTAGATTATAGTTACTAAACATCAAGGCTTGATTTATCTTTTCGCAAAGCCTTACAGGAATGGGTTTGGTTTCAACATTCTTTGACCTTTGGCACCATGGCATCCAGTTTAGTTGTAGTTTTGGGTCAAAAAGAATCTAGTGAAGTGGTAACAATGGTTATGTAGCAGTGTAGCAAAGAGGGAAAGAAATTTAAGTTAATGTTTCCATAGCCGTTTTAAATAGAAGATACTTTTCCTTAATTATGGCAACAGATCAGAAAATAGTTTGGAACAGATTGTTTATGCACAGGGGAGGAAGCAAGCAAAAGGTAAGGTCTTTTATGACATGAAGTTAATTGAGTATGTCATTAGAAGATGGGGAATTACATTTTGCAATTTTGGTGATAATTTCCAATGTGCATTATACTTTGTTTCTACCTTTTCCATTTTCACCTTTGATATAGGCACATTCACAATAGAGTTTCTCAGGAGACTGAGGTTGAGTCTGCGTTTGAAACCCCAAAACGAGCTTGTTATGAGATGAATATGATCATTCTAGTCAATAAGAGATATCAGATTTGAGCTCTTGCAAGGGAGGGAGTACATTATATATATGTCTATATTATTGTAATACCAATGTGAAAGAGACTGAACATCAGCTAGATTGGTGGATCTTGTTGAATCAATCTCTCATTAAACCGGTGGGTCTATACCATAATAGGAAACCCCAAAAAGTACTATATCGTTAGGGTAACATGCATGTGGGTCCCACCCCACCCTCATTTTTTTTCAGGGTGTAAGGTGATAGATGAGTAGCTTCTTCAAACACACAAAAAAAAAAGAGCTTGAAGATCTGTTTTTTCGAGTTTAACCATCTAGTATTCGAAATTCTCATAGCGATAAACTAAATGTACAATTGTGATATGGTTGGTATACGTGTATTTATATATATGTATTTTTTTCAAAAATTATAATCAATGCAACTCCATTTTAATCTTTTAGGGGTAGTATATATATAGTAAACAATTGACAATTGTACCCCAATTATCATGTTAAAATACATTCTATTTCGAAATTATTATTCATTCCTACTCCTTTAATTTTGGGATAATGTCTTTGACAGGATAGACTAGTGCTGACTGATATCAAAGCAAGTATACCTCAGAAACCTACCTATCTTTTTACGCACTGATCAGACTTACTATAGCCCCCACCACCTTCATTAAATTCCAAAATACCAACTAACATGATTTGACGTTACAGATTCTGCAGCTTAAAGCCCATACCCTTTTTTTTATATAAAAAAAAAAAATTAAAAAAAGGAAGAGTTTAACGTAAATAAACAAATTTTTAATGAATGATATAAGTAAGTGTTTTTCTTAAAAAGAAATATGATGTTAATAGAGAAAAGACTTCCTATTGAAATTTGCTCTTTTATTTTCACAAGTCACGACAAATATCTTTTTGATAGATTTGATTCACTAGCTCAATGTATTTTTAATTATATGTCTTTTATGATGAAAATATTGTACTACTAAATTTATAAATAGTCATAAAAGGATACTACAAATAAATGAAAACAGAAAAAATAGTAATTGACACGATAAAATTGTAACTTAAAAGATAATTCAAATTATTTTTTGATAAAGAAAGGCCAAAAAGAAATAATTAAAGGTGAGTTGAGGGTTCCACGATTGTGTCCACTCTTGTCAAAAGTCATTGACACTTTATAGTACGTGGTCATTTCATTTCTTGAATGCTTAAAAGCAAATAAATCTTGGTAGCTAGCTAGGTTATACAATATAATAATAATAATAATTATTTAATATTAATATAATAAAAAAACTAGGGTTATAATTTATATATTTCTGTAGCCGTGACTCGGGTATGTCTTTTGCGTAAAAACATTTTATTTGATTTACTCTATTCTTTGGCTCAGAAATAATTTTTTGGGAAATAGGAGATTTAAATACCCCCCCCCCCCCGGTTGTATTTCATATGTCATTATTTCCTTTTAATTTTTTTTTAATATCTTGTTCTCATGATTACAGTTAGCTTAAAAAAAATTACCAAATTAGACATTATATGATGTGTTGTATAGAAGCAATTCATATCAAAATGGAACAAAAGTTAAAAACTATTAAGATTTAACATTTATACTGACGGTGTATATCAATAACAACAACACTTTTAATGCAATTTCAAGGAAGGGCAGAGTATTGTACACATATTTTATAATTATCTCGAGAAGATAGAAATGTTATTTCTGAAAGATACTTGACTTAAAAAAGCATCAAATCCAATTAAGATGAAAGAAGAAGACAATAAAGTAACCATAACTGTTAATTAATAAGAAAAAAGACAATGTTATATCTACGAAAAGAAACAATGGCAACAGTAAAATAATGATATCATATGTATAATAACAATAGCGTATATTACGTTAAACTCCATTAATGAATTAAGAGAAATAAAGACGTAATGAAATATTGTACTTTCTCCGTTTAAAAAGATGACGTAGTTTATTTTTGAATCTGGTTATAAAAGAATGACCCCCCCCCCTCCTTTTTTTTTTTAAAACATTTCAACTTTCTACGTGACATGTTTAACGCCACAAAAGTAAAGATCATTTTGGTATATTTGACATAACTTTAATTTAGAATCACAAAATTAAAAATTCTTTTTTCTTTTCTTAAACTACATTTCAAATCAAACTATATCATTATTTTTTAAACGGAATAGTTTTGGAGACTTAACTCCAAAATTAGTTAGTATAACTGAATTTTGAAAATGGTATTTATTAATACCTTAAATGGTAAGTAATGGCGTGCATGAGTTTTGCTGAGACAAAACCAAATTGGTTTAAAGCTGGTGCAACGCTATATTAGTTTAGCAGAGCCATCAAATTCGGTGTTTATTTGGTCCCATCCCTTCATTTCTCTTATCAAATTTCCAATCTGATTTGACTCTGACTCATGAATAACATGAACTGTTACTATCAACACCCTCTCTCTCTTTTTTTCGATATTTATATTAGAGTTTAATTAAATTTAAATTTGTATTAAAAAGTCTTACATCAGGAGAGTAAGTGCTACCTAACAAAGACGACTTCGTATTCAAAGAAAGTCGAACCAAGACCTCTTAGGATGAAAGGAATATTTATTAGTACCTTTCTCTTTTCATGTGTGCGAGTGAGTCTATATTCATGGATCTACGGTTAATTACGATAAAGGCGATTGAAATTTATTTATTCTTAATAAGAAATCTCAAATTCAAGCTTTAAAATAAAAAAAATAAAAGTAACATTCCATAGTTGGCCAATTAGGGGTGTTCGTGGTTTGAATTCAGCCGAGTAAAATCAAAATCAAATGTTATTTAATTTTTAGTTAATAAAATCAAATCAAATTTGATTTGTATCTATCAAGTTTGGTGGTTGTTGGTTTGATTCGGTATAAGGATATATAATGATATTATTATTTTTTTGCTTTTTAAAAAAAATTATAATTAGAGGAAAATTTTCACCGGTTTCCAATTTGTAATCTTTTATTAACTTTTTACTGTGGTGGATATAATTTTTTCTTAATATAGGTAAGCTTTAATCACGTGGATTAAAATGATAAGAAACATATATGAAATTTGTGAATATAACGTATCTATTTGGTTAAAAAATAATCAGTTTGTTTTTAATAAAACCAAACTAAAGCAAATCTTATCAATATTTTAAAACTTAAATGCTAAGCCTAATCAAATCAAATCAAATCAAAATTAAATAAATATCAATTTATTTAATTCTCAATTAGAATCCATTTTAAACCATATTACAAACACCTAGTTGGCCAATATTCATCGTTGAATTACTCGAACCTTTGGCGTTTGAAATACCATATGACTGAAAAGTCCCCTAAATAATTTAAAGCTAACCTTGATATACTGACCATGTCAAGAATAAACAGTCAAAAAAAGATAATTATTAGTAAATCTCTGTGATAAATATTAATATTGTGTAATTGAAAATTAAACACGAATCACATCATAACCTAGTTCAATTTTTACATTCCTAATTTAGATTAGGGGTGGAGACAAATGGGTGCAAGAGGGTTGATCAAAAACCTTTTCATTGTAATTTTATATCGTTTATTATTAGAATATAATGTTGAATTTTAATACAATATATATGAAGTTGTAAGGTTCTATTAGAACCATCAATGTGCATGAATTAACCCAAAAAAAATACTTCAATAAAAAGTTATATATTTCATCATTCAAATGATTTCCTCCATACGAAACACACCTTCAGAGTGCGCTAACACAAACAAACACAAATAATAATAAGAAGAAGAATAAACAACATATATTATTGGAACAATAAAAAGTTATATATTTCATCATTCAGATGATTTCCTCCATACCAAACACACCCTCAGAGTGTGCTAACACAAACAAACACAAATAATACTACTACTACTAATAATAAACAACGTATATTATTAGAATAATCGTAGTTAATAGTTACAACTTATAATACGAATAAAAAAACAAGGAATCCAAGGCCCTAAAGGGATAATGCTGAAAGAGCTAAAAACAGTTTATTAGTTTGGAGAGATTAATATAATATATATAATACATCTCACCTATATAATATTATATTTATATATATTTGTGATCATAATATAGCTAGATCATATTATTTATTATTTTATTTATAATTAATAGAGACCAATTGTTTTCTGAGGACCCTCTCCTGCAACAGCATGATCCAATTTATTGGTTTGTTTGTTGCCATCCAGCTTGAGTCCAAAATGGATATGAGGGAAATGTGCCCACTGCCAAAACACACAGTAAAAAATATCAAAAAGGTAATTAAATTTTTCACATAAATGTAAAGTTCTTTAGTTACACTATTCTATTTAGTGCCTCTTCTGTTTATTTGCCCCTACCATACATTTCTCAAATAAAATTACTAGTCAGCTTAGACTTCTCTAATAGTATTTTATATCGACGATGTCATCTTTCAAGTGTCACACAATCGATCTTTATTATCACCTTTCATAATGTTTATTTGAATTATATATAGATAATTAGAATTTATGTTAATATATATTACATATATATAAAACCTCAATAAAATAAGTAAAAATCTCAAATATTTTTCTTTGTATCGAACACATCTTACGTCATATCCTTCGTTTATTTACTTCCTACTGAATATTTATATACAATTTTGATATACATAGTTTAATTTCATTTTTCATATCTTTCTAATTTCTTCATGTATGGCTCAGCCTACATAGAAAAAGTTATTTTGGGCTGAAATAATTATTTTCAATTCTCATGTAGCATGAAAATCTCTACCTCTTTTTTTTTAAAAGAAAAAATGTATGTCATATATAGCTTACATTTTTGGCAGCAGTGCTAAATGCTTCTCTGTGGCTAATATCAGGATTGCTTGCCTTTATCCTTTGGATCTCCTCCCTACATATTAAATTAATTCACAACAATATATATATAAATATATATATAAATATGTAATTCACATAGTTCTTATTTTAATCTATATGCTACTTATAATTATATTATTTTTACTTACTTGATAAATCTATTGTAGGCAGAAGGAACACGTTGTCTTTTCTCCGGTACTGCAAAGTTTTCAACAAACATTTGAACATATAATTTTAGTAGTGCAATGGATTCTTAGGTAATATTTCGAAGGTAGCAAGGAGGAGCACGTAGAAATATCGATCATAAAATGAGCCACTAGCTAGTGGCTAAATATAAATAAATTTCGAATTCGCTTCTAAAGTATCAAATGACGTTTTATAAGATAAAGTTATGATAAAATTAATTTGTTATTTCCACTGGCATAGTAAAAATTTTACTGTCTAAAAATCATGATATTTTATGCACTATAAGGTATGTGTTGATTTAGATGAAACAAGATTACAATTGATGGTATATATATTTGTCATGTGCCAAAGTATACATTTGTCCCTAATTGGTTTGTAGGTTTTTTTTCTTTAAAAAAAGAATTTACACTGTCTCGATCAATATTTTGGGTTGGTGGTGATTTTAATTTTTGTCAGTATTAGTGACCAAGAGTTTAGAGATGTTTTAACCAACATAGTGCTCATATTTTTTTCCTAACATAGATTGTGATGGTGTGTTGAATGATTAGAATTTATCTATTTTTAACTTAAATTAATTCAAAAACCTAATTTAAGCATCAAAATGTATTGATCATGTGCTGGAATACATATTTTCTTGGTTTAGAAACCTATTAACATTTTCGAAGAAATCGAACACATAACCTAAAATATTTTTTTAGACCTCCATCTCACTTGTGGTGGTGGTGGTGATGGAGTATCGGTGTATCAAATGAGATTCAGTATCTAATACATATGCATAAAATAAAATTAAAAAATCTATTCACATTGTATAGTTTTCTCAATGTTTACCCTAAGATCTTTTTTTGGTCTAATCATCTAGCACCTAAAATTAATTAAGAGCAAATCTAAAGGGAAACTGATTACTTAGCTAGCTTTAAGAAGAGATTATTGCAACTTGATATAAGTAGCAATTTTTTAGTTGCCTTCCAAAAGAGAGGCAAGGAGAATTGAATCTTCTTCGCAGAAAATTATATTATGTCAAATAAAATTATTTTCTTAATAAAAGCGAATATACAAATATGATAGCAAAAGTGGTCCAATAGTTGTTATACTTTTTGGTTCTAGTTTCAAAACCTAGGTGTGACACACTAGAATTTTATTTTATCTTAAAAAAGAACATTTTTTATGAATTTCTTGCTCCGTTACTATCTAAAAACCACCCAATGGACTAATCTAGAGAGTAGAGGTCATGCCTATACCTTTTTATTCCAAGAAAGGACCTAAGAGAAAAAGGGTGCAGCAAGGAATTCAAAAGTACTTAACCTATGTTTCAAGATACTGGTATTACATTTGAGTTGGGTACAAGTGTAATGTCACAATCAACTGATGGATTTGTACACAATTGGCCCCACATAATAATGAGATGGTACACAGTTGCTCTTCTTTGGTTGAAGAGATTCAAAATTACCATTCTAGTAGATAGATAGTAAATTAAAAAGAATCAGATACGCATGTGACATAGATATGTATGTTCAATTTTTAAAAAAAGAACGCAAACATAATATTATTATGTTATAGTGGATAAGTAATTAGAGAGGGGGAGAGAGCGCTTACCGCGAATAGGAGGGGATCTAGGTTGATCATGATCAGTAGGAATGGGAGAAAATCTGTGAAATGAATTTGTAGAAGAGGATGATGATCCATAACCTCTACTCATTCCATCTTCAATACTTGACTCATTTTGTCTCTGCTAATTCAATTTTTTGCATATACCAATTAGTATATATGAAAGTCTCTGTTATGTTATGTGATCATTTCATCTAAAATTTTATATTATGTCTCAACGATATAGATTCTCTTAAGTATTAGAAATAAAGAACTTAAAATTAAACTAAAGTATTTCCACATATTCTTGTAAGACTTAACTAAATAAACTAAATTTTCCTCCCTTTCAAATTGTTGTCATATTTTTCTTTTGAGTCAAATTTTTAATAGAAAATGTTTCTTTCCTTTCACATGTTTAAGACTATAAGAATAAACTACATTTGAAATATTTCTAATTTATGACCACAAGAACCAAACGTTTTTTTTAAAACTTTTTAAAGCTCCATACCAAATCGTCAAAACTAAACAAATAAATTAAAACGGAAAGAGTATACGTGGTATATACCTGTAAATCTTGAATGGGGAGAGACTGAAGGGAAGGTGCAATATTAACAGAAAGCAAATTTGCGCAGTGTCCACACCTTACTGTCACTATTGTCATCATACTGTTGCATGGAACGCTAACCTGACATACAACAACAAAAATAGAAACAAAATTGAGTTTAGTTTACTATTTTATTGACAAACATTACATCATACAAGTGCTCACTATTGTCCAGAAAATTAAAAAAAAAATGTATAATCCTTAAAGAGTACTTAACAATTTGTGTCTAACTAGATTTTACTATGCAGTTGCATGATTTTTTATTTTTTTTGTATACGGGAAATTCGCGGTTACTATTATTTCAATGCGCACAGGATAAAACTTTGCTCGTATAAATGAATTGGAAAATTGAAACACACATTGTATGTAGTTGGACTTAATAGTTAGCAATAGCTTTTATAGTAATAGTTAAATCTATAAATACCTCGTCCATTCAGTATAACAGAGCAAAATTGATGACGGTATGACAATATTAAATGGGAAGATGACAATCTCAATCTAGCAGCATCAAGAATATATATCACATATAATAAGATTCAAATTTGCAATCTAAAATAAAATTTTAAGCATTCAGTGCTCAGAACTCCCCCCACCCCACCCCCAAAGTGAGTTAGCCCTCAACTCCAATTTATGTGTTTTCTAAAAAAACATTCTTAGTGAAACTTCTTATACTACCAAAAAGGGTTGTGAATTCTGATAGAATAGTAAGTATTCTCTCGTCCTTAATCAAGAGGTGTCAAGCTCGAGCTCTCTAAGTATGACATCGTCTTTGTTAGGAAACGTTTTACTTTCAGATTTAACCGAGCTCCAGTATGGAATACCAGGTGGAAAATCAAAAAGAAAACATCCCAAAACTTATTTTTCACACATTTTAAAAGTTGATTTTTTATACATTCAGTCAATTATTTTTTATTGAATAAACTTGAGATCAAGAAAAAAGTGATTTTTCGAAATACATAAATATTAGTTGAGTGAGCATGTAAAAAAACAAACTCGAAATTACTATAAGGAGTTTCCTTTAAAGTATGCTCTTGGACTCATCTCTTTTCTTTTCCTTTTCTTTCGGTGCTCTCTCATCGACTTTTTCTGACCATTTACTCAGTCACCAGCAAAGTGAGTAAACTAGGAAAATGACATGACCACAACAAAAATCATGAAATACACATAAATCAGAAAATATATTTAAAATAATTTATATTAGTACAAAAAAAATAAATTAAATATGTGATATTCAAAGTAAATATTTTTTCTGATGTAAAACTCTAGCATCATCAATTTCATTTTGTCTCTTCAAATCAAGCAACGTAACTACATTTTCATAAATGGAAGAAAAATATAATGATTTATAAAAAAAAAAATGTTAGTAATAATATCAAAGAATGGTCAAAATGAGGAGGAAAATAAATTAAAGAAAAATATATCTTATTGTAATAAGATTATATTTATTATCCAGTGGACAAATACATACTCCCAATTTTTATTTTTATGAAAAAGAATTTGATTGTTTCAAGAATTAGTACAATTATTTATGATCAGTGTGTGCAGTAGAGTACGAACCTTATGAGGAAAAAGAGGATCGACCAATTAATTGATAAGAGAATTAAAAACAAAATGATAACCAAATTATGAGGAATATAATTAACGAACTTGTTAAATGGTGACTATTAATTAATTAATTCAATCATTTAAAAAAAATACAAAAAAAAAAAAACTTATTCACAAGAAACCCTAGTCTCTCTCTAGTCAGATAGAGTATCTGAAATTAAATATTTAGCTTGTTTCTAGTCAAACTAGTACTATATATTAGCTACTTGTTAGATAGGGTTTGGGAACAAATTAATTGGATCTCAACTCAATTTTTATTTCTTTCTATTAACCTTCAAAAAAAAAAAAAAACAAGCAAGATAAAGAAGAATAAAAGAGAAAATAATGAAAGATTGTTTTCAATTATTTTGAAAATTAGCATAAAATATGACACTTTGAAACATCATATCTTTTTTAGTTAAATTTCTCGCTTAATTAATAGTTATCATCTTAGGAAAGATTTTAATTTTTTTCCTATAAAAAAATGACTTTCTGAAATAATAATTATTAGTTGAGTGATGGATCGAACAAATCATCTCCGCATATTTCTAACCCTTGTCGCTTATACTAAATTCATTCTAACAAGATTTTGTTGAATTTCAAAAGATTGTGCTTTCAAAAAAATTTTGAAGTTGTTCTGATTATCATATTATAATTTATAAAATGAAATTGTTCTTCTAATGATTCGATCCAAAATTATATGTCAACATGCATTTCAAAACTATTAAAAAGGGTTTAAAATCAAAGTAAAGAAGTGTACCGCAAGAATTGTGCTGCAGAAGTTGCAATGAACATAGCAAACACGTTCCGAGGAAGAGGAGGAATATGTCATGTCAAGTGACATTTCTTATAAGCTTTTTAGGTCAGAAAATACGGATCGAAGAATTAGAAGTAAAAGTATGAGTCAAAATCAAGAAATATGTGTAATGTTCATCATGTTATGTAGCTAGGAAGAGAGTTGAAAAGACCTAGCTTACAAAAGATGGGGGAAAAAAGGGGGAGATGATAAATAAGGTATAAGTTTTTGAGAGATGAATGAATGAAAGAGTACAAAATAAACACATATTAGAGATGAAGAGATTGATGGGATTGGAATGGTTTGGTCTGGTCGGGGTGGGGTGGGGTAGGGATGGGGGTGGGGGGGGGTGAAGGATGAGAAGTGAGTGAAGGAAGTAGTGGATCATCTTCATCTTATATTATAGTGGTATTGTTGTCATGCACATCAATACCTAGTGTAATTAATAGAGTATACAAAATTAGTTACTACCACAAAGTTGTTATATCCAAATAGTACATAGACACAACATGTACATTTTGTGTGTCTTTTCACACACAAGTATATAGCTTTCTCCGTCTCATTTTAACTGTCGTTTTAGTTCATTTCATTTTCGTTAAAAAAAATATAAATAATTTTTGTTTGTTATATTTTTCCTTGAACACATAAAAAGTACACCTATAATCACAAAATAAAGAAAAAATAATGATTTCACTTGTACTAGGATGATGTAGAGCTCCTTAGAATTTATTTGAACTCGATATGTGCAAGGAGATTTTGTGGATCTGAATTATTTGAATTTGTCAAAAAAGTCTGATGACATCTTGATCTCTTTGTGAATATTTCATAAGTTGATGGAATTTTTGAGATGTATAATACAAGGGAAATGTTACATGTTTTATATATGTGAGCTAATGTTAATAGTTGAGTAGCTTTCAAGAACTCTAGTTGAAACTAGACTCGTCTTCTAAATTTTCATAAATTTTTATGTCTATGTTCCCTTGATCATTTTTTACTTGTCTTGTATTGGTTTGACACACACCTTTAAGAGCAATAAATAAAATGATATTTTATTATGTTACTCTTTAAATATAATAAATTCAATGTTTTGGGAAATGAATATAGTAAATAATAAGGAAAATTAGGAACTAGATAAGTGATAAATTATCTCTTGAATTTTTTTTAAAAAGTGAATATCTATTTTTAGCAATAAATAAAAGTGAACGGAGAGGAACACAATACAATTTACTAAGTTACTCCTAAGAGATAATATATATATATATATATATATATATATATATAAAGAGAGAGAACTGAGTTACATTAAGAAAAAAAAATTCTTTATGTTTAGCTAAAAATAATGGTTATTAGGCTATTAGTTTTAAAATTTTAAAGTGATAACTATTTTGATATAATATTTTTAACTAAATCAACGGATGAAGGGAGCACCTAATAATGGTTTAAGTGATATTTATTAATTGGCTTGCTTATTACTTGTGTCGTTCCATATTGATTTAATTTTTATGGTATTTCACACCCTTTAAGAAAGTAGATCAAAATATAAATTTAATATAATTTTTTTATTTTTATCCACTAATGAAGGGTAAAATAGAAAAAATACTCTAGAAGTAATCTTGAAAATTGAAGGCTTAAGTTATTTAAAAAAAAAAAGTGCCTCAAAAATTTAATTAATATAAAATAGAAGAAGTATAAATATACTTTGGTGCAAATAAATGTTTAACTAATTAATGCTCTAATTAGGTAGTGGTGGATCCGTGTAACGTACGTGTTTAATCGAATTGAATATCTTTTAACTAAATTTTGTATGTGTATGAAAAATATTTATAAACATCTAATTTAAAAAATTATATATATTATTATTATTATTATTATTATTATTATTATTGTTATTATTATTAACTTGAGGTTTTTACACTAACATGCTATATAAAAGAGAGTAGTTTTTACGTTAAAATTGTGCAAATTAAACAAACATATTAAATTTAGAAGGTAAATTACGAATAAATGTTTATGGTTATTGCACTAATTTTAACTTGATTAAAACTATATATAAGTAATCAGCTATCACTTATTAACAAATTAAATTATATTTGATGATATTAATTTTTTTTAGATAATCATATTATATAATTTAAATTCTTTAATTTTGGGGGTGGGGTGGGGTATGTCTCTGCGGGGGGAGGTAGTACGATTGAAGGAATGAGTGGGTGGGAGTGCATCTGGTTAAGTGACCACTCTGCTTGAATGTGAAGCGGACGAGGGGGGCGATATATTAATGCTTATGGAATGTTTTAGTTGGCTCAAAGTACTTAGGCTCGACTCGATATAATATCGTGATATGAAATTTAATTAATTTTTTATTAAAAAATATTTCAAATTATCTTAGAAATTTGAATTATTTTATTATTTTTTTCATAATTATAATATCCCACAATTAAGTTGTGAAAAATATTTTTTAAAAAAATCAATTTTCATATTATTTTATTAAATGAACAAATCATAATAAATAAAATATCAAAATATTCTAATATTGTATGTATTTCAGGGCTCCATGTCCAGAGACTCAGTAAATTTGGTGGAGAATGATACTTCATCAGAGTTATGGCATAGAAGGCTGAGTCATATGAGCGAGAAGGGGATTGATAGTTTGGCTAAGAAAAATTTGCTTTCTGGAGTGAAACAAGCAAAGTTGAAGAAATGTGTTCATTGCTTAGCCGGTAAACAGAAAAGAGTTTCTTTTCAGAGTCATCCGCCTTCAAGAAAGCTCGATTTGCTGGAGTTGGTACATTCTGATTTGTGTGGTCCTTTTAAGGTAAGATCTCATGGTGGTGCACTTTACTTTGTGACTTTTATTGATGATCATTCTTGCAAACTCTGGGTATTTCCTTTGAAGTTAAAGGATCAAGTACTTGATGTGTTCAAGGGTTTTCAGGCCTTGGTTGAAAGACAAACAGGGAAGACATTGAAATGCATCCACTCACATAATGGTGGTGAGTATATTGGTCCTTTTGATAGATATTGCAGAGAGCAGGGTATTAGGCATCAGAAAACTCCTCCAAAGACTCCTCAGTTAAATGGTTTAGCAGAGAGGATGAACAGAACTCTAGTTGAGAGGGTTAGATGTATGCTTTCAGATGCTAAGCTGTCAGATTCCTTTTCGGCAGAAGCACTTAATACTGCTACTTATGTTATCAATTTATCTCCTGCTGTTGCTTTAGATGGTGATGTCCCTGACAGAGTTTGAACTGGTAAGAATGTTTCTTATGATCATCTTAGAGTCTTTGGGTGTAAAGCCTTTGTACATGTTCCTAAGGATGAAAGGTCAAAGTTGGATGTTAAAACTAGGCAGTGTATCTTCATTGGTTATGGTCAAGATGAATTTGGCTATCGTTTCTATGATCCTGTTAAGAAGAAACTTGTTAGAAGCCGTGATGTTGTGTTCTTTGAAGACCAAACAATTGAAGATTTTGATAAAGCTGACAAGGCTGATTTTCAGACTAGTGAGAGCTTAGTTGATGTTGATCCAGTTCCTTTGACTATTGCACCGGAAGAAAATCTTCATAATGATGAAAATCAAGTTGATAATGAAGATGGTGATCATGTTCAGAATGACCGGCATGATGTTGTTGATGCTCCAGTGCAAGATGATGTGGTTGTACAACAACCAATTATAGATGCTCCAGAGAGTCCTCTCAGACGATCTAGTAGAGAGAGAACTCCTTCATCTCGTTATTCTCCCAATGAGTATGTACTCTTGACTGACGGGGGAGAACCTGAGAGTCTTGATGAGGCCATGGAAAGTGAAGAAAAAGAAAGGTGGTTTGATGCTATGGAAGATGAGATTAAATCCTTGCATGATAATCATACCTTTGATTTGGTTAAGTTACCTAAAGACAGAAAAGCTTTGAAAAACAGGTGGATTTTTCGGGTGAAACATGAAGATGGTAATCCAGTTCCACGGTACAAAGCTAGATTAGTTGTCAAGGGATTTAATCAGAAAAAAAGAGTTGATTTTGATGAGATATTCTCTCCAGTTGTGAAGATGTCATCCATTCGTGTGGTTCTAGGCTTGGCTGCAAGTCTAGATTTAGAGGTTGAACAAATGGATGTTAAAACTACTTTCCTCCATAGTGACTTAGATGAAGAAATTTATATGGAGCAACCGGAAGGTTTTGAAGTCAAGAGTAAAGAGAATTATGTTTGCAAATTGAAGAAGAGCTTGTATGGTTTGAAACAAGCTCCCAGGCAGTGGTACAGGAAGTTTGGTTCTTTTATGAGTCAGCAGGGCTTCAAGAAGACTTCTTCAGACCATTGTGTTTTTGTGCAAAAGTTCTCTGATGATGACTTTATTATTGTGTTGCTTTATGTTGATGACATGCTTGTTGTTGGTCATAATACTTGCAGGATTCAGAAGTTGAAGCAAGAGTTGAGTAAGTCTTTTGCTATGAAAGACTTAGGACCAGCAAGGCAGATTCTTGGCATGCAGATTGTCCGTGATAGAAAGGCCAAGAAATTGGTATTATCACAAGAGAAGTATATTCAGAAAGTACTTCGCAGATTCAGCATGGACAAAGCTAAGGTTGTGAGTACACCTTTAGTTATGCACTCCAAATTGAGCACGAAACAGTGTCCTTCTAGTGATGATGAGAAGGAAGATATGAAGAAAGTTCCTTATGCTTCAGCTGTTGGTAGTTTGATGTATGCGATGGTTTGTACAAGACCGGATATTGCTCACGTTGTTAGAGTTGTTAGTCGTTTTCTTTCTAATCCGGGAAGAGAACATTGGAATGCTGTGAAGTGGGTTATGAGATATCTTTGTGGCACTTCTAGTCTGAATTTGTGTTTTGGTACAGGGAAGCCTATTCTTTGTGGTTATACTGATTCAGACATGGCTGGTGATGTTGATACTCGCAAGTCTACTTCAGGGTACTTGGTTACTTTTGCAGGGGGAGCTGTGTCTTGGCAATCTAGGTTGCAAAAATGTGTTGCTCTATCTACTACAGAAGCTGAGCTTATTGCTGTCGTTGAAGCTTGTAAAGAATTGCTTTGGATGAAGAGATTCTTGGGGGAACTTGGTTGTGCTCAAGAGAGGTATGTGCTTTATTGTGACAGTCAAAGTGCTATACATCTTGGCAAGAATTCTACGTTCCATGGTCGGTCTAAACACATTGATGTGAGATACCATTGGATTCGAGATGTGTTGGATTCTAAGTTGCTTGAGCTTGAAAAGATTCATACAAATGACAATGGTTCCGATATGATGACTAAAACTTTGCCAAGAGGGAAGTTTGAAGATTGTTGCATGGTTGCCGGGATGGCGG